GCATTGTTTGTTAGTCTGTTTCCACTGTTCTTTCCAGAGACCCTTTCATGGTGGTACTTCAGGGACTGCTAAGAGGAAGCAAGTAGAGAGTCAAGCATTGAGATATGTGTTCCCTGATGCCACTTACGTAAGAATACTTTGAGTACCTTTAATCTGTTTTGTCTAAAATTTTGTTTGAAGACATGTTCCATGGCTTTCTTTAAAAAGTATTTAAAAAATACTAGAATCAACTGGATGCTGTGGCTCATGCATGTAATCCCAGCACTTGGGATGCCTGGAGGGGGGCAAATTGCTTGAGGTCAGAAGTTCGAGACCAGCCTGCCCAACATGGTAAAACTCCGTCTCTCCTACGAATACAAAAATTAGCTGGGTGTGGTGGCAGGCACCTGTAATTCTAGCGACTCAGGGGCTGAGGCAGGAGAATCATTTGAACCTGGGAGGCGGAGGTTGCAGTGAGCTGAGATCCCGCCATTGCACAGCATCCTGGGCAACAGAGCCAGACTCCATCTCAAAACAAAGAAAGAAACAACAACAACAAAAAAACCCAAAAATTATTAGAATAAAGAATTTTACAATGTAAAGAAGTTTTACTGCATCTATTTTTATTTACTGGGATAGGTGCTAACAAAATGTTTTGAGTTTTTTGGGAGTGGGGAAATCAGTACTATCTCCATATTCTTAAGTCTTCGTTTATCCAATTAGAACTTTATTAAGCATTTACCTGTAAGTACTGCATTAGGTATTTGGTAGACAGAGGTGAACGTGGCCTAATCTCTTCTCATGCAGGACACAGACAAGTAAACTGACAATTTTATTGTAGTGCATGAGTCTTATGAACCCCCCAAACAGGGCAGATAATGGTAGGGCTTTTATATTTTTTGGGGAAAGATCATAGGTATCATTAGATTCCCCTAAGTCTAGATATCAAAACATATTAAGAACAATTAATATGGTAAGTACTACACAGTGCTGGAGGGATGAAGGGACATTGAGGATTATAATGTGCTGTGAGAAAACAAAGATAAAGTTTCCAGAAAGGAGCACAGGTGGTGTAAATAGGTCATGGAAGGCAGTGAGTGAGACATAGACTGAGACATACATGAAGGAGAATGAGATGTAGTGGTGAGCAGTAAGACAAGACTGCCAGCAGAGGGATCAACTTGTATGGAGTCTCCAAAGCCAGAGAAAGCACAAGGAGTTTAAAAACTAAAAGTATCACTTCTAACTTTAAAACGAAAGCTGAAAAACAAGCAAACAAAACTCAGCTCTTTGCCATGGTTGAATTTTCAAATTCTTCTTCCAAACTAGTTAACATTGCTAGAGGACATGATCAAACTCAGCTGATACGGCCCTTTCCAAATTTGTGCTGTTAGATCCAGCTGTGCCTTCATTGACGTTGGGGAAAAAAAAAAATGGAAGTTGATTTGGAAAAATCAAACATTCCAAATCACCAAAGAAAGCGCTTGAGTCTAAGTGGATTCGTAATATTTTATTGAGAGATAGAATTACAGTAAGGATTTTCAGTTTCACTATCTGAAAATATATTTTGTCAGAGGATTCTAAAACAGGATTATCACACATCTGAAGTTAATAGTCAGTGAACTTCCATCTTTTTTAAAGTAAAATTTTTGAAAGGAATTTTGATCAATTAAGTCACATTAAAATAATCATTTGCATGGTTAGAATTGGAAGCAACCTTACAAGTATTCTAGACTTTTTCTTCTGAGTTTTATTTTTAAGTAAATTATTTTGGAGAAGATTAAAGAAAATTATAAATACAATTTTAAAAATTCTCATTTTGGTAAGTTTTCTTCTAAATGCTTTTTAATTGAGATAATCATACTAGTGTTTCCTAAAGTATATTCTGAGCAAATATGGTATATATTATTGGGGAAAAAGGGTTTCTGTAGCAAAATGAGTTTGGGAAATTATCTCAGGATTTCTCAGACTTCAATGTCAGTGTGCTTTTTGACTATAAAACAGGGAGGTAGGATGTATGATTTATATTATGCATACTCTATTAGAACCCTTTTTTCCAGAAATACTCATTTTGCTGACCTATCACCTACTGTATGCCAAAAACTCTGCTGTTTTAAATGATCTTACTAAAGTGTAACAGTATGGCTCCCTGTTATCTTTGTGAAAGAAGGAATTCATTTTGATAAAGAGTAAGGTAGGTTTCTCCTATTGGCTTCAGCTTAGAGGGATGACTATTAGCTATCTTTAAATACATATCATCTATGGACTTCTGCAGTCAGAGTATGGCAGAAATTACAAGATGAAATGAAATGATTTAAATCCTTACCTCCCCCCAAATCAGTCTTATCAAAAGGAGGAGTTCATGTTAAAGTTGCCGTTACTGGGTAAACAGGAGAAATTTTCAAATTTCATGGTCTCAGGACCCCTTTACGCTTATATAATGTATTGAAGTTCCTTTATTTGTGTGGGTTATAATTATGGGCATTTACCATATTAGAAACTTAGCATTTAATATATTAGAGACCTATTAAATAATACTAATAAACTAATTTCATGTTAATATAAGTAACATTTTAATAATAATTTCCAAACCAAAAAAATATTATGAGGAGAAACTGCTTTACATTTCTGTGAATCTTTAATATCTGGCTTAATAGCAGAGACATTTTCCTATCTGCTTCTGCATTCAGTCTGTTATGACATCATATGTTATATGTCCTGTGGAAACCTCCACCATGCATTCATGAGAAAAAGTAGAAAACAACTAATATAGTATTATTCATAAGTTTTATATGATGGACCTCCAGGGGTTTCCAAAACATGCTTTGAGAACAGCTGAACTAGAGTAGTTAGGTACTACTATGGAAATTTTTTTGTAACTTGATAGCTAATTATAAAGTATTTTCCAATTTAATTTTATTTAGATTGTAAATATTGTTAATTTATTGAACAACTAATAATGTGAGCATTATAGATTGTGCACATTGCACCTTATATAGGCTAATTAGCTCACTGGTATTTTATTTTTACAAAAGTTCTTACTGAAGTATATAATAATTGGGTTGAGTTAGTGGGATCAATATATAATTCAGATTAGTTATAAAGGTAGGAGACAAAAATAGTTACTTTTTAAAATGGTTTCAAATGCTAGATAAGCAGTATTTTGAAGTTGTTCCACAAGTACTCAAACTTTTTAGAGTCGGTAGCTTTATTTTATGGTTGAAATGTATTTAAAGTAGCAGTTGGAATTCTGCCTTTCCCTCTAAGGTTTTGGTAAGTTACGAAATTCAGCATAGATGTTAAGTGTTCTTAAATTTTTTAATAAGAACATAAACTTTCAGTTGTCTTTAATTCTTAATTATTCTGGAGATTTACTTTACCGTCAGAGATGCAAAACAAACTATTTTATAGTTAGATGATTTTTTTATTGTTGCCGAAAGATTTTGAAAATTAAAATGATAAACTGAAACATACTATATTTGTCTTTTACCTAATAGGTGAAGTATTACAGACACTTAGCACCTGATCACTTGCTGCAAATATGTCATCGACTAGGACCTCTTCTTGAACAAGAAATTCCTCAAAGTGTTCCTGGAGTACAAACTTTATTAGGAGCTGGAAGACAGTCCTTACTACGCACAAATAAAAGTATGAACATTTTTTCTTAGGATTTAGACATTCTTTATCTTTTTGTTTTTGGGTTCTTTGTATGCATAAAAATACATGTGTTTAATAGGCTGCAAGCATGTTGTGTGGAAAGGATCTGCTCTGGCTGCATTGCACTGTGGAAGACCACCTGAGTCACCAATTAACTATGGTAGCCCACCCAGCATTGGTGAGTTATTTGAGTTCACTGCAGTTAATAGCCTCTTGGTGAAGAGCTTTTGAAAATAAAAAGGTTTTTTAGTTGCTGTGGTATTAGAGAACTTCATATTGTGTACATCTGCATTCAAAAAGGAAAAAAAAAGATTTTTTTCTTAGTAGTGTTAATAGTGAAAAAGTCATGTGTAATTATGGATTGTGCACATTGCACCTTATGTAGGCTAATTTGCTCATTGGTATTGTATTTTTACAAAAGTTTCTTACTAAAGTATACATTATTAGGTCGAGTTAGTGGGATCAATATATAATTGAGGTTAGTTATAAAGGTAGGAGACAAAAATAGTTATCTTTTTAAAAGCACATTCCTTTTTTTTTTTTTTTTTTTTTTTGCCTTTAAAATTTCAAAGAAGGAGTACGGATGCAAATAGGTTTTGAGATGCCTTCTAGTTCCATCCCTTTGATGTCTCTTACTACCAGGTCCTTGCCTTACCTGGATTAATACAGATGGCATCATCCAAACGAATCTTTTTGCCTATGGTGTCTTCTGTCTCTCTCCCTTTCAGTATAGTGTGTAACACTGTAATAGTAACCTTATTCGATTCTACCTTTGTTGTGTCACTCTTCTGCTCAAGATAGTGTAAAGAGGTTAAGATATTTTAATAGTATTGTACTTTGTCTACCACTAAGGGTACTCCTAATTTTCAGAGATCTTCATAGTTTAATCTAAGTAGCTTCTTTTCTACTCCCGTGTTCCTGTCTAGCCAGGAATGTTATTCTTCTTTCTTCCACCTGCTCAAATCTTACTTAATTCTTTCTTTTCTGATTACTTATTATACAGATAGTAAGTTTTGTATGACTTCTGTTTGGTAACTTGACCAAGTTTTTGTATGACTTTTGTTTTTATAGATACATATCTTTTTCTATCATTTTACTTTCACTTTTTAACTTTTTTATTTTTTGTCTTTTAAGAATATGAAAGTGGGTTTTAGAAATAGAGTATGACAATCTTTGTGTTTTATCTGGAACATTTAGTCATTTACATATAATCATTGGTGTACTTGGGTTTAAATCTGCTACCTAACTTGCTACTTTGAAGACAATCCCTTTTTCTCTAATTGCTTTTAAGATTTTATTTTTTCTTTCTTTTTGGTTTTCTGCAGTTTGAGTATGATATGTCTTGATGTTAATTTTTTTAAAACTTGGCTTGTTTAGATTCTGAAATGTCTTTTACTGACATTGAAAAATTCTCAGTCATTGTCTTTTAAAATAACCTTTGTGTTCCATTCTCTCTCTTCTGCCATGGGAAAGTGTAAACACTTTATCTGCTTTGTTATCCTTTATTCTATGTTTTACATGTTTTTGACTTTCTGTGATGTATTCTGGATCATTTCCTCCGACTTGCTTTTCAGAGATAACCTGTATGCTATCTGCGTGGAGGGTAATCATGTATGATTTTTTAAAAACATGATTGTCCTGTTTAAATAATTTCAATACAATCTTACTATAATAAACAGCCATTAAAACAACAAAAGAATTTGAGACACCAGGGTATATTTGTACTTAGAAAATTATACTAAGATGATATAATAGGTTTCCTAAAATAAGGGAAAGATAAAATATTACAGGATTTTTCCCATTTAGAAAAAGTTTATCTTGTCTTTGAAAAAGTGTATGTTTTTCGTATAATACAGAGAACATATTACGCTTGTTCTTTGAGTACCTTGTCAGGCAGACCTGCGGTAGGCAATGAAAGTGTAAGAATGATTGATGGTAAATAACATTTACTCTGTGAGTAATTCCTATATGCCAGACAATGTTCTAAGCATTTTCCATTTATTTTCCTTTTAAAACCTTACATGTTGTATAGGTAGAATCTATTAGGCTTATTTTACAGAGGAGACGGAGGCATGGAAAGGTTTTGGTGACTTGACCAAGTTTACACATACAGTGAGAGGTGAAGCCAGGATTCAACCCAGACTGTTTGAATCCATTATGCTGTGCTTTATTCCCAGCAAACTAAATTTATTAATAACAATACTTGCCTACTAAAGAAAGTTGGTAAGTCATTTTTTGTAAAAGAATACCAAATATTTATAAAATCAAATATTTTCAGCCATGTCATTGATGGTCAGATTAAATACTGCTGACAGGGAGAGAGGAACATAAATAATACTAGTCTTCCCTTATTCACAGGAGATACATTCTGAGACCTATAGTGGATGCTGGAAACGACAGATGGTACAGAACCCTATATATACATATGGCAAAAATATCTTGGGTTTTGCATCCAAGCTTAGATATTTAATTGATTGATTTAGGTAACAGAATTAATAACTAAGCGGGTCATTGATGTGCCTTTCTGAAAGACTTTTACTTTTTGGGTTCACCATAAATTTTTTTCTCTCTCTTCCCATCTGATTTTCAGGAAAATCTTTGTTCTTTATATTAAGAAACACCTGTAATGGATTGCTCATTTTGCCTAGTTTTAAAAATTGTATTTACATACAGTTTTTGAAAGCACTATGGAGAAGCTGGACTGATCAAAATGACTCTACTTCCATACTCAGAGTTTAGTTTCATGTTTTACTAGAGTTCACCATGGTATACAGTGTGTTTTGTTACTGCTCTAAAGTTATGAATAGGATGGTGATGGGAAGAATTAATTCATCAGTGTTTTTGCCAGAATAGTTGCCCACATTAGTGGTACAATATATTGTTTCAAGCTGTTAAAGTATGGTTCAGAAGATTAAAAAAAATATATATGAATGTTTCTAGTACTTACTTATTTCTTCTTTTGTTGTGTGTTTGCCATTTTCTGTCTGGCTACCTTTAAAAGTTTTATTTGCTCTTTCTTTGGTCATTGTGGTACTACCAAGTATCAATGGAGGTAAGAAAAAACTCTTGACATTTTAGCTTTTCTTAAGATACATATATCAATTTAAATGTTTAATATAGATCCCAAATACTGAAGTTTTAACACATTTGGGGTAGTAGCTGTTTTTCTTTAAATAATCTTTTAATTTTGGAGTAAGAAATTATTTACTTAGAAGTTACACAAATGGTTTAAAGAGTTCCTATACACCCCTCATGCAGTTTTCCCAAATGTTAAAATTTTGCATTACCTGGTCTATTTCTCAGAACTGCTAAACCGACATTGGTGCATTACTGTTAAGTAAATAGTAGACCTTAATCATATCTTACTAAGATTTCCCGCTAATTACATTTTCTTATTCCAGGATCCAGTCCAAGATAGCATACTGGACATAGAGTTTGTTAATTTTTTATTGAACTTCTTACTGTAGTTCAGAGGATAATTTTAGGTTAAGCTGGTGGCAAAATTGAATTTTCTTAGATATTTCAAACCATATGTAAACTGTTGGACCTCTTGAATATCTCACATTTATCTCAAACTTAAAAATACCTAAAATGTAATTTTTGACCCTCTCTGAACCTTGTTATTCCAAGCCAGAAGCCTGAAAGTCATTTTGTTTTAGATTTACTGTTCATTTCTTAGGTCTATTTAATAAATAATAACTGTTTATTCTACTTTCTTGAATCTCTTCTCCATTATCATTGCCACAGCCATGTTTCAGGCCTTGGTACTTCTTGCCTGGAGTACTACTTCATTCATTCACTCACCAAGTAGATACTGTATGTCCCTACCTTATATCTCGTACTCGGCTAGGGTCTAGAGTTGCTGGGTAAGCAAGAACAAGGCCTCCGCTTTCCCAGAACTTAAGTGCTACTTGAGCCCCTGCTCCTAGTCTATTCTTAAATCCTAGGAGTCATGTCTAACCAGGGTTTCTTAACCTTAGCACTGTTGACATTTTGGGCCAGATAATTCTTGGTTGTAGGCAGGTTTCCTATGCATTGTTAGATGTTTATTAGCATCCCTGGCCTCTACTTGGTAATTGCTAGTAGCCCCCCACTATCCCCTTGTAACACTTTAAAAAGTCTCCAGACACTGCCTTATACCTCCAGGGCAAAATTACCACTGCTCTAAACTTTATGAAATGCACATGTTATCATGTCATGCCTCCTCTTTTCCCCCATTGAAAGTGACTGAACAGTAGTCTCAATTATTTTAATGTGGCACACAAGACACACCTTTTCCCACCTTTCCTGCTATGTCCTCACCTGCACTTTGTGCTCTAGCTTAGTACAACTCTTTGGCAGTATCAGCCATGTTGGTTTTCATCCTTTTGTCTCTGCACATGTTTTATTTCTCCCTGGAATGCCCTTCTGTTATCTGTAAATTCTACAGATATCTGTCTGTTTATCCTTTAAAACTTATATGTCACTGGGCAGAATTCAGTGGTTCTACTGATATCTGCTATTGCTTTTATCACATGGTTATGGCTGTTTATTTACCTTTGTTTCCTCTCCTATACTGTTAGGTCCTGGAGGACAGACATTAGGTTTTATTGCTCTTTAGGGGGCCAATTCTTCAGCACTAGTAAATATTAAATGAAAAGTAGGTAGTTGATACAATTGATATACTGGGATGGGACAAGTAAAGTGCAGAAGTGAGTAAGGGGTTAAAAAAAATGGAATAGTTGGTAGGAAGAAGAGAAACTTGATCCAAGAATACCTTTGTGGTAAGAAAAGATAAAATCACCAAACCAAAAACTGATTTTTAAGAAATTAAGGTTTATGAGTAGACTGGGTTATCCGTTCATTACACTTGGGTTATAAAATACATACCTATACAATTTGAGAATCCACTTGAGCTTGACTCGGTGTTTTCTTTTCCTGTTTTATTATGTGCTTATAGATCCCAATGACTTTGAACCTTTTAGTCTTTGATGTAAGCTGTGAAAAATGAACTAGAACTCATTCTCAGCAGGAGACCCAAAGTGGTCTGTTGCCTTCCAGTGCTCTAGAACCTCTTTTAATACTGTTTTCAAAAGCAAAGACAAAATATCTCACTGATGTGTTATTACTAGCTTGTAACTCTTTTACTGTGGAAGAGAGGTATGAATGTGTACTTGGCATAACAACATTCACTTCCAAAGGAATTAACAAATCTTTGATATTGTTCTTTATCTTACCTTCATACCCACATTATGCCTGTTTTCAGATCTAGTTTATTCTATATTTGCTTATACTTCAGTAATAAAAGCGCATGAGTAAGGGGAAAAGGAAAGAAGAGACCTAAATACATTAAAGGAGTTTTTAAGGTTAAATTTGGAAGTTGGTTGAATGTTGTTTATCTTGTGAAAAATATTGTAATACATTAAATTAAAGCAATTTTTGCTGATTGCTTTGTTTGCATTTTTCTTACGTTTGACATGTTAGCAAAGTAAACATTTTATCTCTAGGTCTTTCATTTGTCATCTTTTTTTGTGTGTTTTGCCTCGGTGTTTCCATAACTTTATTTTACTTGTCTGCGGAGGGTTGCTCTTAAGCTCTGCTGTCTTGGGTGAGGATAAGGAGTTTTGAAGATCCCGATTCTTAAAAATGTTTGAGTGAGTGTAAGGAAACAACTTTGCCTTGAAAAATAGCTTTACTACCCAGACATCCAATTAATAAAGAAGCCGTTGTATTTTTTTAAATAAAAGTCTTAAATCTTGTCTACATTTATAGTTTTGTATTCTCTGAGAAAATTAGTTTGAGTAAAGACACCCAACAGTCACTTACAGCTAGATGCAAATCTTTGTAGAGAAGTCTCTTCTTTCTTACTTTGTGTATTTTGCCGTATTTCCAATATGGTGTTTGAATTATTCTGTAGCTGGTAATTTCTTAAATTTATTCAATCAGTTTTTTTTTTCTTACACTCTTAGGTTATATTTTTCCTTGTATGTTTTTTACATAATTATTAGAATGATTTTTTTATATTATAATTGTATGAGATTACATAATTTTAATACATGAGTTAACAGTTTACATATAAATCAGTAAATTATAGGATATAATATGTGGCTTTATTTCTGTTCATTTATCTTTTTTTAATATGCTGTATTGTCTCCATTTTCCTACTCAATCCATACGTTATTCCTAGTTTGATAATCTGCTCACCACTTATTTAAATATATTTATTTTAACTTGTTTTTCAGTAACCATTTTATTTTTAGAGCTCATTTTCTTCTGTTTTCTAGTCATAATTTTAGTCTGTTAAAGGTTTTATGCTTCGTGTTTTTGTTTAATGATTGTTGACTCAGTTTTGTTTTCCTTTTTTGTCTTGGTCTTTGTTTTTTGGTCTTTTCCCTGACTGATCTTCATATTTCTATTTGACACAGTTTTGTTGTTTTATTAACTATTTTGTCCCTCCCGCCATCCCCCTCTCCGCCTATTTCCTCCTTTTTTTGCCTCTTAAAAACAGGTTAGCTGTGAGAAACTTTCAAGGTGTATTAGCTTTTTAAAATATCTATATAAAGAAAATAATGTTCATTATGCCAAAGTGTCAAATGTATAAAATAGACATTTATTTTTATTTTTGTCTTTTGCTTAAATTTCTTTTCAAATTAATGGTTGACAAAAAAATAAAGGGGGCGAAACTTTGAAGAAGTGAAACTCCTTAGGTGAGTTTAAATTGTTGCTTTTGTAGCTAGCTGTGTTTTAATTTCTTTTGTAACTAATAGGAAAACATTTGCTTTTTAGATTATAGATGTGATGAGGGATATCCCCTCCACTTTGTATATGTCTGGCAAGCAATTCCAGTAGTAATTAGGAATCACTAATGATTTTCCCTTTTAGTTTGCATTACATATTTTTCCAGAGTGATTATTGGGTTTGATGGTGAATATTTATATCTGTGTAGGTGAAGCAAATTATGATATTATTTTCTCATAAGGTCA